GGGGGGGGGGGGGGGGGGGGGGGGGGGGGGGGGGGGGGGAGGCGGCATTATTGTTTCGTCCGGAGACGAAGTCAGGATGTGGGTAGGTGGGAGAGTGTCACCCTCCGGCCTGTCGACAGATTCTTCAGCTTCCTCCTCCAGCAGTTCTGGGGAAGCTGGAGCAGATGGAGGTGATCACTGTGTCCTGGATGGATTGGATGGCTGGGTGTTTTGGGCTCTTTATAATGCCCAGGGGTCCCAGTATGCCCACTGCGGTGGGAAGGCCATGGGAGGGGACACCCATTGTGGGGGTTGCCAACCCACGCCCTGTGGCCGAGTGGGTCCAGGTTTAGGAGAGGAGCGGTGAGGTGTGCCCACTCCTGTCTCCACTTCCTCCTCTTCAACAGCGGAGAGAGGAGAGGCCGAGCTAGCGAGCGTAGTGATAAAGCTTGGCCCTGACTCTGGCCGGAGTGCCAAAGAGCGGGTGGATGCAATGAAGAGGTCTGCATGGCTGACAGACTGTTGCGGTACCGGGACACTCAGTGCTGGCAGCACAGGAAAGCTCAGGCTGGGAACCAGAGGGAGCGTAGTCGGTGCTGCAGACTTGTCACATTGTATTGGTGAAGCAGGCGCCACAGCGCTGTGCTGTGCCTGAAGTTTCTGTTCCCTCGGTGCCGAGCTATGAAACTTAGTTTTGCTGCTATGAGAGCGAGACCGCACAGAGTCTTTTGTTCCTTGGGACGTCTTGGTACCAGACGGTCCTGGTGCCTTGCGGTCCGGTGCTCTGACCCAGTTTTTGCGGTCGGGGATTGCTTTTTTGGAGGTGAATCCCGGCGTGGCGAGGAGTGAGACCTCTTTTTTGTGGATTTGGTAGGACCAGGGTCCTTAGCAGCCATTTTTGAAGAGGACCCCACATCTCAGGCAGCTGCAGGTGAGGACGGGCGAGGAGGTGTCCTGGACTAAGGGTCGAGGGATCTCCTCCTCATTAAAAGTTTTAATTGGAGGTCCCTGGCCTTTCTTGTCCACACTGTGAGTTTCTTGCAGTGGGAACACTTTTGGGTAGTGTGTGTCTACCCCACTGCGAGTGGCCGCCTGTCACTGGTATTGAGAGTCTGAAGGTCAGACAGTGCTTGAAACCTGGAGAGCCAGGCATGTCTGAGAGGCTAGCTGAATGAAGAATGGGAATAGTCCCATTCTAATGCCTCTTCGGCGGCTGCCTGCCAGAGGCGGGGAGAAAAACGGAAAAGTGTTTTTTTTATAAATGTGAAAAATGAAAGAAAAATGAACGGAGAGATAAACAATGAGGAAAATTAACTGAGAAAAGAGAAGATAAAAGGAACATGAGAGTAGATAAGGGCGCTGCTGTCGTTCCGACCGAAACCAAGGACAGTAGAGAAGGAACTGGGTAGTGGTTGGCTGCGTGCATGGGGTAGCTACTCGGAGTGGTGCAAGATGACTGCCGCATGTGCGCGGCCAAATGGGGCACTGCTACCACAAGTCTCCGACTAGAAGTGCAGGGCACCAAGACACCTAAAGTGGAGCACCCACAGGGACACTCCTCGAAGACGAAACCTAAGGTACCTACGAAATTATGTTCTCTTCAAGATCTGGGTCTTGCCAGAGCAATCCATGTATTCATCACCTCACAACTGGATTATTGGATAGCATTTATATTTGAAGATCACTCAGAAGCCAGAGCTGGTGCAGAATGCTGTACTCAATCCAATATGTGGATGTTAGCAAAGTTCAGCAAACACACAGGTTTTCTGTTTACTCGTAGGTCAGATCAGCCCTTGCATTTGAGGTGCTCTTGTTAACATGCCCTAGATTTGAAGGTGAGGGAATGGAGGCATGGCATTCTTGGGGGAGGGTTCTCAATTCTAGATCTTGTTTTCCCCCATGTCCAACTCAGCCTGGATTTTACCGGCCTTCTGTGTTCAATACAAGACCCATCTCTTTTTTCAGGCCTAAGCCATATTGGGTAGGGAGAAGAAAGAAGTGGGTGAGAATCTGTTAGCAGTGGTGTCTTTGCCCATTTCTTAAAGGTATGTTATACAGTACAATATGTATTCATTATTATTTAATTGTGGATATATGCCCAAAGTTCCAAGATAATACCACAGCACATACTTCATGGACTGCCTCCCTTCTCCAAAAAACCTTCAAGCTTTTAAGATACAATACAGTCAATTCCTGATGTCTGTCACATCAAGCGACTTTTTTTTGTGATGAAGCAACGAGGAGTGGTTTCTCCTACACTCAAAAATTCCATTAGCAGATACAATGCAAAGTATGTTTTCCTCAAACTACAGTTACTATGGCTTTTAATTATTAGAACAACTTACCGTCATAAATGTAGTTGGGGTTGAGAAGCTGAAAATGAGAGAAAGTGAATTAATTATTTCTTTCAAGTAACATTCTTAAAACCAATATTATTTCCAATGGTCTAAAATGAAAACCATTTAGCATGGCGATGGGTTTTAGTCAGACCCACAAAAGCACAGAAGCAGCTGCAACTCAGTGTTTTGGCCATACCACTCTCCCCATATTCACTTTGGAACGGCATCACAGCCCCAAACTGGAGGATCACTTCCACATGCTCTGAATTTGGAGAAACAACATCAAGAATCACACATACCTGAGCCAAATTCCTGCTTGGTCTAATGCCACTCAGACCAATGCTGTTACACAAGAAACGAATTTGACCCATGATTTTAACTTACCCCACAGGATCATTTTTGAAATACCATATCCTTGTAGCATTTACCTTCACGGAAACCTTGTTGGCAAGTCCTTCTCGGGATTTGCGATAACCATTTTCTAGCTTGCCTTCCCTTTTGCCGTCTTTATCTTTTTTCTCAGATTTCTTCCTTAAACGGAGTGCTGTGTGCCAAGATGTTGACTTCCTGAAGGCAGAACATTAACATTGTGTTCAACTCTTTTGAGCCCTCAGCAGGGCATTGTGCTGTTTAACTTCACTTGCATTGGAAAATTTTAATGTCTGTAATATCTAAGACACAAGATTGCAGAGTCCAGTCCTGTTGAGTATGGGAGCTGTAAAGGAAACTCACAAAATATCTTCAAGAAATCTTAGATTTCCTGGTGACCCTTTCATGCTAAAAGTATCAATTTTGATCTCAGTGTATTTCTGCAAAAAATTACAAAATTAAAGGATGCAGGGTAAGTACAGGAGACATTTTGCCTTTGTTTAAAACTGTAGACAAAATGAAAGGATCAATGAGAAGCATTGTAATGTATGGAATCTTACCTATGAAGCTAAGCCTTTCATAAAATCATGGACACTGTCAGTCAAACACAGCAATGGCCCATCAGTCCTGTCTCCAACCACAGGCACTGACTTTTCAAAGTGATGGGGGGTGCTCAACCCCGGCTCCGCCCCCACTCCACCCCTTCCCCCAAGACCTTCCCCCCCCAAGCCCCGCCCCCCCGAGTGCACCGCGTCCTTGCTCCTCCCCCCCAGCCTCCTGAACATCACGAAACAGCTGTTCACTGCCGGAGGGAGGCACTGGCAGGGAGGGGGAGACACTGATTTGTGGAGCCCGCTGGTGGGCCGGAGGTGCTGGGCGGAGCTGCCGGTGGGTGCTCAGCACTCGCCATTTTTTCCCTGTGGGTGCTCCAGCCCCGGAGCACCCATGGAGTCGGTGCCTATGTCTCCAACACTGACCGACAAATGTTTCAGATACAAATGTAACCCCCCCCCCTAAATTATCCAATTTTCCAATACTACAGTATGGGGAGAAATATACTTTCATGCCAACAACCACCTTTGTACTTTAAAGCACAAGAACTAGCAGCCCCGGTAATCTCATCTTAATTGGTGTAACTACAGTTTATTACTCTTATTAATAGAAATGCCTAATTCTTAATAAATTATTCCATTTCAAGTTTGCCTTAATTTCCATTTCAGCTCTCTTGATTCTTTTATTATGGGAAAGGTTAAGTTTGAGTGCACATTAGCCTTCTCTCAATAACATTAGGTATCATTTCAGGAAACCTCAACAGCATTTGTAATAAAGAAAATACCTACATGGGTTTCTTAAACATTTCTATCATAGCAAACATCCAACCTATAAATCAGTTTTACTGACACCAAGACACACCAGATATCTTCCAGGACTTCATCACACATGATGTCCATTTCCTTCTGGAAGTTCACATAAACTTTTAGTTTAGAAGGTTCAAATCCTGATTTAATTGTAAACCTTTTTACAAAATGCTCAAGTAACATAAAACATGTGCAAACCCTCTTCTCTTCTGAAGAAATCCAGACACTCACTTGATTGTTCCATCATGGTTGTCAATGATGACTGCACTGGTATGCCCCAAGACATAGCCGGGAATCCAGCCCTCGGCTGCAGGGCACTGGTCAGTGGCGGCTCTGAACACCAAAAACATGTTCTGTTGGTTGCTGGCTAGAATTTGCACGACCTCTCCTTGGTAGACATTTATCTCATCCTCCTTCACTGCCGTGTAATCGTGTGTCACCAGCATGGTGGAGATATTGCTACTGCTGCTACTTTCACTCTGTAGTATTAATGGGGTAGGGACAGAGAAGGGAGGGGAAAAAATGGGATCGAGTTTAGAGCTCACACAGAGGACACTTAAAATTACATTGTACTGCGACACTAAACAATGTGTAGTCCCAGGAGTTTATCCTTCTTTTTGCCCATGCCTGGTCTACTGTATCTTTGTCATTTACACAAATAAAATATACTATTACCTGCCATTACAGAAAGCTGGTGAAGAACTGGGGATTTCCCCCCACATTTGTTACTTTTATTTATTATTCTATGGATCCCAGTTTTATTGAAGCTTCATGACACACCCTTTTAGTACCTACAAAAGCAAACTACAGTATATGGGATTAGCCATTAGGAGGCATTATAAATCACAATTTGAAAGAGACCAAAAATTAAGGCTAGAACCCAACCTAATCAAAGTTGGGAAATTCAGCATTGAAGCAGATGATCATTCTCACCTTGCTTCATTTGTTGGAGCTTAGCCCAATCTTGCATATTGCGTATAATAAGGTACAAAAGGGCAAAATGAATTGGCGTTTGTTATTGTCTCTCTAAAACATTAATGCTTGCCAGTTTCGTTTGTAAAGACTAACAGATTTGTTTGGGCATAAGCTTTCGTGGGTAAAAAACCCACTTCTTCAAATGCATGGATCCACTCCAGGTATCTGAAGAAGTGGGTTTTTTACCCATGAAAGCTTATGCCCAAATAAATCTGTTAGTCTTTAAGGTGCCACCGGACTCCTCGTTGTTTTTGTGGATACAGACTAACACGGCTACCCCTCTGATAGGTTAGTTTGTGTGGTTTTTTTATTCTTTATTTTTAAATGTGTAGGATGAGATAAATTACCTACTTTTTAGGGTTTTTTTGTTTTTGTTTTTAAAAACCCTCTCCCTTGTGCCCCCCTCCCCCCCCCCCCCCCGGAAAAAATAGAGCATTAATCAACCCATTTATAGCTATCCTTTTTCTCATATTCTATCAGTAAGTACAACCATTAGAAGCGCGTGTAGTTACAGGCATGGACTCAACATTGTATGGGTATATCTGAATTTTTTGCCTTTCTCCTTAATAAGCATTGGCAACAAATGTAATGACTGATCAATAACTCAGATGATGTAAATCACACTATCAAAGTTTTTCAGCCAAGAAAAGTTATCTGTCCTGACAGTGGTTCCACCTGAAAAATCAGGTCTAGCTATTTCCTCTTGCGACTACCTTATGCTTGCTTCTGAAGTTTAATGAATGTCAACATACAATTTCTCATCAGACTAACAAACCAACTCCATATAGCTTGGCCCTGAACCATCCAGTTCCCTTAGGAAGGAGTTAAAAGTAAGCCAGCCTGTAAACTGGGGGACTGGATGATTCCAGAGAATAACAATGTGGCATAAGCGTTGCTGCTCTGACTATATCTTAAGTCAATGACTATTATCACTACCACCACCCAATGGCTGGTCAATAGCCCAAAGACATTAAGCTGATGGTGAAAAGTCCCCAACAGAAAATGCACCCTGTGCTGGCAGTCTCAGTAGAGAGGGCAAGAATTCAACTGTCTCCCCATTATTAAGCCACTCCTATCTGATAATCAATATAAGCCGTCTATGTCCTGAAATAAGGAAATTTCATTTTCACCTGTAAGTGAAAATGAAAAGAAAATGGGCCACAATCTGCTCAGTTACATCAATATTAAGTTTCTTCAGATTTACACCAGTGTAAATGATAGTTTGGCCCAGTGTTTAATATGTGGTCGTGGTCAGGAGACTAAAGCCTGCTCGAATGGCACCTTCTTATTCAACACAACTGCTCCTGGTGTATATTCTGAGTCATCACTGTAGGCAGCATGGTTCCACGCACAGTGCACTGGGCTGGGAGTTCTATTCCTGGCTCTTCCATCTACCAGCTGTGCGACCGTGAGCATGTCACCACACCTCTCAGTGCTGCTGTTTCTCCTAACACTTTTGTGTGTGTCCCATCTATTTTGAATTCAAGTTATTAGGGGTAGGAACTCTCTCTGATTATGTGTTGGCACAGTACCTAGCACAGTGGGGTCTTTAGACTCTACTAAATATCTTAGTATTACCTGTAATACTGCTCTGGTGATTAAAGTAAGTATGTACTGCATTTCACTCCCAGTATCATGACAGAGCACAAAGAGCTCTGGGTGAGGGAACAGGATTTTATTCTGGGCTGCATACCCCAATAAGATAATTATCTAAATTCCAGTTAACTGACTTTGTATTACAGTTAACAATACTCAAGACAAAAAGAACCCAGGTTGACTCCCTCACCCTAGGGAATCAATGGTCCCTGTAAACGGCATGTCTGAGGAGGGAGCATCTGCAAACTGCCTGCCTGGCCTTGGAGAGACCTTTCCCAGAGTAATTTCTAGAGCATATCATTTCGAAAAACATCCAATCCTAATTTAAAAATTGTCCACGATTGAGAATCCATCACAACCCTGGTAAATTGTTCCAAATGTTTGCTTCCCTCACTGTTAAAAATGTACACCTTAATTCCTTTCTCAATTTGTCTAGCTTCAACTTCCAGCCACTGAACTGTATTATACCTTTTTCTGCTAGACTGAAGAGCCAATTATCAAATATTTGTTCCCCATAAGGTACATATAGACTGTAATCAAGTCACCCCTCAAACCTTCTCTTTGTTAAACTAAATAGATTGAGTCCCTTGAGTCCATCACTATCAGCATGTTTTCTGACCCTTTAACTATTCTTGTGACTCTTCTGTAAACTCTTTCCAATTTATCAACATTCTTGAATTGTTTTCCAGCAGTGGCTGCACCAGTGGAAAGTACAGAAGTAAAATAATCTCTCTACTCCTACTAAAGATTACCTAGTTATCATCCTTAACTCTGCTGGCCATAGATTTCTCCTTGTGTCCCTTTGCTTTCCTTATCAATCTTCTGTAATTTCTAATTTCTGATTTATATTCATTACTATTAACTTCCCCTTTCTTCGATTTGCTATACATTATTTTTAAATTTTTTATAGTTGCCTTCACTCCCCTTCTGTACCAGGTAGTTTTTTTTTCTTTTTTAACCAATATGGGAATCTAGTTACACGTTCTTAAACAATTCCCAATTATCATTCACATATTTCTGATTAAATTATGCCGCCCAGCTAATTTGGCTTGTAATTGCTTTCAGCTTTGTGAAACTGGGCCTATTAAAGCATCAAGAACACATTTATTAGTGATCTGGACTTTATTCTGTTTGCACATTATAAATGTGATCGAGTCATGATCATTTGTATCTAAGTTACCTCTAATTTTTAGTTCTGTGATCAGTTCCTCTTTATCTGTCAAGAAGAGGTCTAATATAGAATTCCCCCATGTTGGATGCAACACTTTTTGAGTTAGGAGATTATCATAATATTTAGAAATTCCAGGGATGTTTTAATACTGGCAGCAAGACACATTCCAGAATGTCACTTAAACTGAAGTCCCCATGATCACGCTGCTTTTTTTCCTATCCATTATACATAGATGTGAAAGAAGCTGGCCATCCTGTTTGGGGGTCTGCAGCAGACACCAACTAATACCCCATCTTGTGAATTATCTGATAAGACATTGATCCATAAGCATTCAAGATCATTTTTTCTTGAGTTATCAGTGACTCGGAAACAGATAATGCCATTTTTGACATAGAGTGTCATTCCCAGTCTCCTTTTGCCTGTTTGCTCCTTCCTAAATAGGTTATAACCATTGATTTTAACATTGCAAACATGTGAATCATCCCACCAGAACTACTTGCTAACTGCTAGTACTGTCAGGGAAACTGCACAGCAATCTAGCCCAAGAAGGGAAAACCTGCAAAGTACCATGTCCCCCCTACTTTTCCCCCATAATCCAAGCACTGTGTACCGTAAAAACTTAACCAAGAATTGTTTCCACATACTTGACAATCCTACTAAGTAGAAATCTTCTATGTTTTGAATAGGTGTTTCTCACAGCTTTTACAAGAGCCAGACTAGAAGGTTCATTTCATGTGTTTTTCAGGGTTGCCCCCTTTTCAGTTATGAAACAGAAACACATGCATACGTGAGTGCACGTGTATGTATATTTTTACACATATAAATTAACTACATCTATATATGTGTGTGTAAATATGTACAAACACACATCCACAAATGAATACACCTCTACCCTGATATAACGCCACCCGATATAACACGAATTCGGATATAACGCGGTAAAGCAGTGCTCCGGGGGGGCGGGGCTGCGCACTCCGGCGGATCAAAGCAAGTTCGATATAACGCGGTTTCACCTATAACGCGGTAAGATTTTTTGGCTCCCGAGGACAGCGTTATATTGGGGTAGAGGTGTACGTCAAATTTAAGGACAAACCTTCACAGCTCATTTTCTCCAATTAGTCGATCACAGAGTGAAGTCACTAAGTTAAAATATGTGACATCACCTTGTATGACGACAGAAAGTGACATTATAGATGTAAAATTATGACCTACCTCTATAATCAAGCTAAAAGAGAAGGTGAGTTGTGAGGGAGAAGGCATATTTAGATAGTGTTGGCTACTGTAGAAAGCAAACACAGAAATTATGGCCTCCCTTTCAAGTTTGCATGAATGTCCCTGTTCAAAAAATGGAATTTTAATAACTGATTTAAAGCCTTATTTGGGAATGACAGAAGAAATTGGTGTTTATTGCTTTAGTATACATAAAAATATCTTATCTTATTAATGCTCTATTCATTTATTGAAAAGACATCTATTTACCCTAGATATCACATTAACATAACATTCTGCTAGACTAAAGAAAAAGATAAAGGCAAGACAAAGCCAAACCAAATGAAAATTAGAAAGGAGACCAGATCAAATAAAAAAGAATACATGCAAAGCACAATTTTTTTCCTCTAAGGCTATTACAAAGGTAAGTGTAATAACTAAAACATCAAGAGAGAGCTCTATATGTTAAACAATTCTATCAAGAAGTGCATGCGTTTAAAAAAGTATTGCAGGTTAGGTGATTTGCAATTGGTATTGTGTAGGAGCTGTGACAGGTACTGAAAAAACAAACACTTGTGAATACAACACTTAGTGAGGGAAAACCAAATGCTGGTAAAAGGCATGGTGACATGCCTATCACATTCACAGTGAGTGACATTCATTTGTTGTGCATTAAATTTGCACATGCCCCATGATCACTATGTTGCGTTTCCTGGTGGACATCGGTAGAGGATGTGGATTCTGTTAACCTTTTTTCCCCCACACACAAAAAAGTGCAGATTAAAAGGTTGAATCTCCAGATGCCCTAACACAGTTTCTTTTACATAGGGGAATAAAAACGTGGAGTGAATATTTCCACTTTCTAACTTTTTGGGGGCTGACAGTGATAAGGGTTTTTTTTGGTTTGTGTGTTTTCAGTTGATACTTGGAAGCTTCACTGACCTGATATGGGATTTAAAGATGATGAGTGAAAAGAATGCTGCAGTTCAATTAAGGCTGAAAGGAGTAAAATAAGGCAACCCAGGGAGTGTGACGTGGATGCCTCACCAAAGTAAAAACTATATAGGAAAAAAACAAAAAAGGGATGGATGTGTGTGTGGGGGGGGAAGCCCCAAGACAATTGGCCAACCAGAAATTTAAAAAACGCTGTTGGTGGCGCACAAACAGAGGCCATGTGATTGTCAAATTCAGCATGTTAATTATCTGCCTTCGGATTAGAGACAAAAAAGCCAGGAGAGCAAGTTAGTAGGAATCAGACTAGTGATTTATGTTTTCAGCAGAGGTGGAAGTCACAACTTTGTTAGCAGTTGTGTTGTGTCTGTATACATATCACAAGTCTGTTTTATGCATACACACACAGACATAGAATATATATTCTATTTGTTTGTGTAGAGAAGATATTGGAACAGTTGATTATTTCAGAGCAGTGCAGCACTGGAGAGCCAGAAGTTAGTATGGAGAGTGATGGTAACGCACAGAAGGGGAGCATGGGAAGGTTTTAGAAGAGCTCGCAGGACAGAGGTGCTCCGCTCTTACCCCATTACTTTGGGTGGAGTGAACTGACTGCTCGCTGGTCGAGGAGCATGTGCTCATGCGGTCTGTGTCCTTGCTGTGTGAAGAGTGGCGGTGGACCTGGCGCTGGAGGGAGTCATTGTCCCCAGGGAAAGTGAAGGAGCCAGGGCGGCTGGCAGGGGATGCTGGGATGGAGCTCCAAAAGGAGCCCTTTTGCAGGGGACTGCTGGGTGGAAAGGTTTCCTTGCCAAAAGGAGAAGGGAAAGTCGTTGAGAGAGGAGAGTTCATTGGAGAGATGGCTCCTGGCCTTGGCTTCCCGAGCGTCAGAGATCCTATGCTGCTCCTTGAGCGATTGTCCTCCGAGCTCCCACGCAATTCTTTCTGGGCTCCGTCTGCTGACCCAGAAACGTTTCCAGCTGTCTTCCTGGGGCTCTCAATAACTTTCATCTTGGGAATCTGCTCAGCGGCTTTCTCAGGACCATCCGGTTCTGCAATGGGAGGGTGCCTGGCTGGCTGGCTGAGGCCAGTCTCTAGGGATGTGCTGTGGGGTGGCAGGGAGGGATTATGAATGGACATACCTGACATCTTGTCTGCCTCTGCTTGGGCGGAGGCTGCAGAGGAGACCAGGACTGGGGAATGGTGTCTGACAGGCTGGGGGATCCGGGAGGGCCTGCTACGGCTGGAGCTGGTAATTCCGCTACAGCTGCTGGGGCCGCTGCTGTTGCTGCTGCCACCGCCACCGCTACTGTGGTTCTTCTGATACTCAATTGGTGATGTCAAGGCTGCAATTTAAAAACAGGGGAAGGAGCAGAGGGAGAGAGAAGAGGGCAGGTTAAAGCTGGATATGTTTAATGCAACCTTAGAGTTTGATCAAAAACAAACTTTATTCTTACATTACACCTTTAACCCACTGACCTCAAAATGCTTTACAGACATTAATGCTTCAAGACATCCCTGCAAGGTAGGTTGGTGGGTAAGATTATATTCCCAAAACAGACGGGGAAGCTGCGGCAGAGGTTAAGCAATTTCTCCTAGGTCACAAGTCAGTGGCTTAGTTGTAAATACCTGCCACAACTCCCAGCTCCCAGTCCTGTGCTCTAACCACCACATCCTGTTTCCAACAGGTTTTCTTACATGATTTTTAAACCAGTTCTTTCACAATGAAAAAAAAAAAATCTATGCTGAGGAAGAACGAGTGATTCAAAGCTAGAAACACTAGTGTGAAGGTCAGTGAACAGACCCTTTTGAGATCAGTGGCAATTACTAGCTTTTCCTAGCTTTCTCCTAGTGACACTAAATGTTATAGTACTAAATGCTGTTGAAAAAACTATGAAGTAATGCAACTGAAATACATTTATACTGTAATGTTAGGCAGTCACTTTGGTTCAGCCCTCCAAAAACTCCCATTTGTTTAAAGTGGATACACTATTTCCTCATATCAGAGGGACGTTGTCATTTTTAATTCTTTCCTATAAAGCACTTTGAAATAGTCAATCACAGGCCACTACACAAGTTCAAACATTTGTTGGGAAGTGAAAACAATGGGCATGTCCCCCCGCAGCTGAAAGGCCTACCACCCCAGAAGAAAGAAATCTTTTGGAGTATTACTTAAACTAGAGCAGATGAAATATGAAGGAGAGCAAGTAGTTGGGGGCATCCAGTACCGAGCCTGGGGCAGAAAGATTAACACAAATGATTTACCATTCAAAAAATTACGCTGGTTTTCCAGAATTTGGTTGATTTCATGGATCCACAATTGGCGTACGCCTGGACTGGCAGAATGCAAAACAAAGGTCTCCAAGACATCCCCTGTTCTTGATGTTAGTGCAAATTTACATGGATCACTGTCCACGTTTTCCTCCAGGCAAAGACAACTCACCTTAATGAGAGAGAATTTATTGTATCTATTGTATTGCAAAGATACCACCAATAGCCCTAGCCAGGAGCTCTGAGCTTCTAAAGTCTTCAAAACATTTAAGATAATGATTATTTAATGTAGTCAGGATTACTGTAAAATAAATTATTAAATGAAACTAAGGATTAATGATGGATACTTGTCATCCTTGTCACATCACTTAAGATTTCACACAGTCACTAAGAGCATCTTGCATTTCAGAAACTATGACTCAAGGTCAGACAGAAGTCAAATGCGATCCATTCCATGGTAGCACAGTGAAATTCCCCTTAGTAGAGTCCTCCGCTCACTCCTTCCTTTTATTTAAAATACTACAGTAGTTTTGTACTTTAATCTGTAGCCTATAAAGATTCCACTATAAGAATGCAACTATTTCCAAACAAGTACAAGCTGCCAAATCAGAGCAGGACTATGAAGCATAGCTCAGTATAGCCACTCAGATCAACCCATTCACATACCAATTTACCCTCTTGCTCAGAAGCCCCCAGTCAGATTACTGCTGGGCGTATCCAACATAACTGTGCAGCACACTACTGCTTCAGGGCAGGGCTAAAATGTTTGAGGGATCAGCCTGTGGAAGTCGAGTCATGTGATTTGACAGACGTTCTAGTCAAGATTTCAGTACTGTTGGCAAGTATTCACATTTGGTTTGGGCTGAGATTTCTTGGGGACTAATACTTTCAAGTTACTGCCTTCAAGCTTTACGATACAGACATGTTACTGTAAGGGCAGGTATTGCAATGATCTGTGATAAGATGTGAACACAGAGTTGAGACACAGCCCCTTAGTGTAGGGCATATCAAGTTACAATGAGTACATTTATATTACTGTATTTAAGGCAGAAGAGGTCAGAAAGCCGGCATGGAAAGATTTTAATGTGTTGTCACAGCTGAGCACAGAATTGTTTACATGTGTTTTTAGTAGTGAGCTTAATGCTACCATTCTTCTAGGTTTACTGGTAAAGACATAGGTTCATGAGTTGGTAGGCCATTACCAGAAAATGATTACCTTGGTACCCCACTGTACAAACCCTATCATGCTCACAGACAACAGTTACCTTGATACTGTTTTTAAACAAGAATCCCGGCATGGAGAAACCTTTCTTTTTATCTAGTGGCTCACTGAATATGACAATCTGCTCAAACAGGAAGACCCGCCTTTCTTTGCAACGTGGCAGAAGTCCCGTGTCCTGGTCTGTGACCAGGAATGTGTCCTGCAGCAGGAGTTTACCCTGGGCTACAATTTTACCCTAAAAAACAGAAGCAGAAACAAATTCATTTAATCCATTAGTTAATTTTTCTGAACCTCTCCAAGAAATAAAACCTCATTACAAGGGTTTTTTAGTGTTCAGAGTAGTTTTTATGTATGTTCACTGATTGATACATGAGAGAAAGGCACTCACTCACTCAAAATCCCTTTTAAATCATTTGTATGCAATTGACTAACTTCTTGCAAGAAGATATTTCAAAATGATAATGTCATATTGAAAACATTTCCCACACTGGTAGTTCCTGAGGATCAATTTTACTCATATAGGAGTCAAGCAATGTGAGAGACAAGACAGGTCATGTTTTTGAGAAGGTTGGTCAAACGATGTACCAGGCTGGCCTGCTCTTGGGCAGGGCTCACATTAAGATTCTCCTTTCCCATTTTGCATTAACACAGATAAGTAGGAGCAAAAATTTGTTCCCAGATAGTGAGAAATGCAGAAACATCCCAGATACAATATAAATTCATCTGGAAATATGTCATAAAGAGAACAGAAATGTATGCACCATTTTAAGAAAGAAAACCAACTTACATCAAATCCTTGAAGGCGGCCAACATTCATCATGTCGTTGCACCGTTTCGGTACTATGCACATGACCTCTACAGCTCTCTGTTAAAGCCAAGGAGAGAAAATCAAAATGTAACTCTCCAGTGGTGGATTGTGTGTGTCATGGCAGGGCCTTTACAACATAGTTCAGTGTATTTAATCAGCAGGACAATTAGAGCTGAAACAGAACAGTAGTTTTATATAACCCGACTTATTCACAAGCACTGCACTGGAAGTAAAAGAAGTGTGGAACAGAAGTATGTAAGTCAATAAAGAAAATGCCAAAAGTACCTCTAGTTCTGTTGTGTCAAGGTTAGCTTTTTTAGAGTATTTGAGGAAGTCCTGTAAGAGAAAAGGTAAAATTATCTCAAGTCCAAACTGGCTCCTAATTGTGTGAGAATTAAATGTTCCAAATGATGCTCTTAAGAAAATAATAAAAATACTTAATTTTTCAAAGCCTCTTTCTGACATGCGTTAGGTATGTTTTTAGTGCTAAGCTTCACATCTGATTTCGGATCATTCAAGAACATTTACTGAGTCATCAATCCTCTTTGGTAGAAAGGGTCAATAATACATTTTGCCAAACACTCACACAAAAGGTGCTAAAGGAATTATAAAATTAATTAAAGAAAAAAATCAGAGGAAAATCAAACAAATTTTGCCTTCAGTTACATGGGTGCAAATCCTAAACCCTTCCACTACACTGAAGAGTTAATGTGGATTTACACTGGTTTAAACTGTATCAGAATTTGGTCCAAGCTATTTACTGTGATTCAGAGAACTATGTGAACCCAAGTTAGGAAACAAACTGAAATACAGTATTAAAAATTCTGGTTTATGTTGAGTACAAAGAGCCCCTTCACCATTTACAATTCTACTACCCAAAAAACAACGCCAACAGTAATAAGATTTTTCAGTTCTTCTTTAGTAAAGGTGGTTACACTGAAAGGGTACCCAGCATCACCTCACCTTGAGTAACAATTGGTATTTCATAATTCTCTGCACTGGTTTTATTAGCAAGTCTGTGAGCTGAAGTCTGTGGCCCAGGCGCTGCTTCAAGTCCTACAGGTTGTAAAATGAAGAGCGTTAGCTTTAAATTTTACTGGTTTTACTTGGATATAGACCAGTACTTTTACTGTCAAGGAGCTAAGGCAGAGAGCAGAAATGAATTTAATCTTGAATTTGTGCTCCAAATTCTCATTTTCTTGTGACCTTAAAAGCCATTCCTGTTTTATTTGTATCATCTTTATTCCCAAAGTATTCCAAATTCTGTCTTTTCAAAGCTTTTCTTATAACCATGGGGCCCAGTTCTTCAGTCCTTACTTTGGATCCAAACCTGCAAAAGCTTATGCACATGAATTCAATAGTAATGCTCATATGCTTCAAGCATTTGCAGGACTGAGATCTTAAGGTGGTCTCATGGGGAGAGCTAGTATGATACTATGGGCAGAGAGGCTGCGACGATGTGGGAAGGGAGCTGCTGGCAAAGCAGTCACACAAATTCCTTTGCACTTCCTATGCCAGGGGTGGGCAAACTCCGGCTCGCGAGCCGTTTTAAGCCAGCCTGCAAGCTGCACTACATGGCTCGGCCCTGCTCTGGTGCTCTAGACGGGGCACTGGGTCGGCGGCTGCATCGCACGGCTCCCAGAAGTCACGGCATGGCCTCACTCTGGCTCCTATGCGCTCCAATGTGAGCTGCAGGGGCGGTACCTGGAGATGGGGCAGCATGCAGCCATCTGCCCGCGCCTCCACATAGGAGCTGGAGAAGGGACATGCCACTTGAGGTAAGCGCCGCTCGGAGCCTGCACCCCCTGAGCCTCTCCCCATGCCCCAACCCCCTGCCCCAGCCCTGATCCCCCTCCCGCTCTCCAAACTCCTTGATCCCAGCCCAGAGCACTCTCCTGAACCCCAAAGCTCTCATCCCCAGCCCCCACCCAGAGCCCGCACTCCCAGCCAGAACCTGCACCCCTCCTGCACCCCTGATCCCCCTCCCGCCCTCTGAACCCCTTGGTCCCAGCCCAGAGCTCCCTCCTATACCCCAAACTCCTCATCCCCAGAGCCCACACCCCAACCCCAATTTTGTGAGCATTCATGGCCTACCATACAATTTCTATTCCCCGATGTGGCCCTCGGGCCAAAAAGTTTGCCCACCCCTCCTGTCCTATGTGCTGCAGAAAGGATTTCTATCCCAGGCCACATAATCCTGTGTTGATGGCCACAAAGAAATAAACCAGGGATGAGGCTTCAAAACAACCTCTCCACAGATCCAGTCTCACCAATATCTGTGCAATTACGGAAACTGCTATTCCAACTCACTGGCTGGAATAGCAACCCTCAAAAGGGACCAGCAGCCCTCAAGGGGACCAGCAACCTCAAACAACTCCCATAGCCTGGCAAGGAAAGGTGGATTTTACTTTCTCAACAGCCCCTCATTCCACCCAGCTAGAGCTCAAATACTCCTGCATTCTGGAGGGTGGAATGGATTTTATTCTTAGTTTATTCATAAAACATTCCCGCAAACTTCAACAGTGCTTTTGTCAGAATCACGAGTACAGAATCAGTGTCTCAAGGAGGTTTTACCCCGAATTATAAAATGAACAGAAATTACCTTTATAGTTCATATCATCTGCTTTTTAGTTTACTTATTTTTGCTACTGTCAACTTTTCTGCCTTATTTAAGGCCCTTAGGGTTGATCTGTAGAACTGGCAGGAGATCTGAACATAAGCTATTATGACAAACATGTAAGACAAAACCTTAAGCTAAAGGTTTTGTCTTAACACCTCATGTTTTGTCTACAGTATCTGAATTTCTGATGAGTCTTAAAAATACTGTATAGCGAAAACAAATGTTGCAATTTGCATCTATATTGTAATCCATTCCTCTGTCTGCATTACTGTTTAATAATAAGTATAATACACCTCTACCCTGATATAACGCTGTCCTCGGGAGCCAAAAAATCTTACCACGTTATATTGAACTTGCTTTGATCCGCCGGAGTGCGCAGCCCCACCCCCCTGGAGCACTGCTTTACCGCGTTATATCTGAATTCGTGTTACATCGGGTCGCGTTATATTGGGGTAGAGGTGTACATTAAAAACACCTGCCTTGGCCTACCAAGAGTGAAGCTCATTCATTTGGTATCAATGAATTTATCTCAAATTTGAATACCAGCAGCCCCCTTCTGAGGGTAGTGGCAGCGGTGCTAATCTATCTCTTAAAGAGCAACAAAATTAAAGAGCAAAGAAGAACTCTCATAGTCTGAAATTAAACCCAACTTCCACCCTGAAAATGTATGTTACTCTCTGAGACTTACCTCAAAAAATGTATCAATGTATTCCGAGACAATGTGCTCAGACTTTGGTTTGTTTTGGCAGTAAACTATGTACATGTGCAACCTTCTCTCCTAGGAAGAATAAACAAAGAGACACAAAGATAATGTACTGCAGTCAGAAAAAAAGTGACAGGCTGAGATGGAGTATAATAAAAAAGCACATATATCTAAATGTATCCTTCTACGTTAAATGGGTCATTCTGCCTTCTGGTAGAATAAATTCTGTATCAAGAACAAATAAGCAGGTATACTTCAAACATAACAAATTAAGAAATTAGCCAGAAAAGAAAAATCCTCAAATAGTTTGAAGTATCTGTCTAAGAGTTACTATTAGTTGAAAACTGGATACCTCTGACCCAAAAGTGTAACTGTACATGCAGAAGTTATAGATCTGAACATGGTACTACACAAACATCCACACAAATACACCTGACATTGGGACACCGAGAACGATAAAATCATGGAAAAACAGACAACTGAGTTGCATATAATACTTTGAATTTCAAAGTATTTCACAAAATTAGCATTTGAGATATTATTTATCATAATTACTTCTAAGGTGCTGATTACTGTGGTATCCAAGTGTAGTGCACTATTTTAATTTCCATTTTACAGCAAGGCGGGAAGGAAAAAAAGGTGAGTGACTTGTCTAATGCTGCAGGGGAAAGCTCAGAATTAGAATTCATGAATTCCTGGCTCTTAAACTTGTACCTTTTTCTTCCAAGGTAAGTGGTAAAAAGAGACATCTGATGTTAGACTAGATACAGAGATAGAAAATCAATCCTCCATAGGTCACTCAGTTCTCCCAGTGCCAAACAGATCTTTTCCATCTAGAGTTTTTATTACTCTGTAAGTACTGCATTAGGATTTGAGAGGATATTTTTTTCATCTGGTCATATGAAACTGCAGCCTCCTAAAAGAGGAGCTGAGATTGACTTGAGAGACAGGTACCCTGTTAACAATTTTCTCCACAAGAAGGCATTGCAAACAAAAATTAGACTCCCTGTTAACCTAATTCTGTGTCTCTGCCTCTTACCCTGTGTTATTTTATTCTACTGACTTTTCACCTGTGCTGCTCCACAGATAAACCCTTTATATAGTGAGGTTAGTCACTAGTAATACCAGCCATTGGCACTACCTGCTTGAAAGAGGATGTTTGTACTTACATGCTTAACGAAGAGGTATCCCAGTTTTTCTGGATCTTCAAGGCACTTCTCCAATTCTCCTAAAAAGAAGCTGAACAAAGAAGAAATCATTTAGCTTGTACCACATTATATGGCAACAGGTAATGTTAAAACAAAGTGGTGGTTGCATTCTTTGTGTTCACACTCTCTTCACTGCTGTGATCCTTGTCCTATCTGCAACTGAAGCCTATATAAAGAATATATTGCAGGGCTTCAAAGCAAGAGGCATTTTTAAGTAAAGAACAAAAAGAAGCAACATAGTGATTCATCATTGCAATCCTTTTGTTTGCTATGGGGATTCAAATTTCTCTTCTACTCATTCTGACTCCTTGATGTGCTCATAACTACACTACCACTGAAATTTGAGAATAAAAACTGTTTTTGACCATTCACAGGTTAGCCTCTCACTGTCAGAAGAACAGGTAAGTACAGCGCATGTTACTGCATAAGATACGGGATTTTTTCTTTTCCTTAATGCATTCTTAATAGGATCAACTAAATAGTCACATTAAATGTTATCTATACAAGACAGGTCAATCCAAATGCTTGATATGTTTACATATTTATCCTGAATAGTTTCCATACAAATAACTATAGGAATAGTCTCAACTCAGAAATTAATTTTAACTGTAAAAGTGTAGGACCAGCTGCTCTTAATTTCTTTTTTCTTGTTTTTATAACCTTTGAAACACTTTTATTGCCATCTAGTATTGTATAGATGTAGGGTTTTTTCCCTGTGTGCATTCAGTATGTTATAAAATTATTTTCTACCAGTAACAGATAATTCTTAAATTAAAAACATACATACTCTCTGTGCCAGTCGTAAATTTGGTGAATGTTGCCGAATACAATCTTGTCTTTCCCCTTCATGTCATCAGGTACACCATCTTCTTTCATAAGTGCCATGTAACCCTGAAACAATCCAGAGCAATTCTTTGTGAAATGTCCAGGTTTAAACGGTGGGTTTCTTTCTCTCTCTCTCTTTAAGGAGCTTAAGAATTTTTAAACTGCAAGCTCTTATTTAAGTCACTTAATCAATAGGGTGTAAGAATCCAATATTACATGTAGCAGTATATTTAGCTGTCAAATTAACGATTTTATTGAAATAAGATTTGTCTCGACTACATTTAAATTTAGTCCGTTTTTTTAATTTCATTTTTCAGTGTATTTTCACTTCCCACAAGTACATGAAATCAAAGTTTCACATTTCCCAGTTCTAAAAAGCATTTCTTTTCATATTTTGCCTGGTAAGCCTCCCATTTACAGAGACCTCATTGTGGTCCCAAATGACTTTATGATGTCCCATCTGAAACACTGAGGGTAATAGGCTTTTTTTTTTTTTTGCCTTATAGCTTCCCAGCCCTGTGACCTTGTACAATTATTGAAAAGGGGTATACTTCTCCATCTATTTTATTGTCATTTTTTTTACATTATCTTTCACAAAGCATCTTTCAAAGCACAAAGATGCATAAAATGAAAGAAATACAGGATTATCTGGATGGTACCCCAATAAGAATTTGACAAATTGTCTCTCATCAATGTCTGTAAGAAATCCACAGTAAGAAGAATTTTTAAAAAATCTGGAACCTTAACTTGTAATAGAGTTCCCTTCTTACTAGTTCCCATTTAAGCACAGTAAAAAGAGTATTTGTCAACCACTAAACTTGGAATACTTAAGACCTTGTACATTAGCACTGACCTTCAAGCATAGCATGCACATAGAGTAATACTTTGATCCCACCTATTTAATAAATACTAAGTCTGTATAACTGTTTGTTTAGTACATTTAAGGCCTGGAGTATCTGATATTTATTAAAAAAAAAAACTAGGAGTCCTTGTGGCGCTTTAGAGACTAACAAATTTATTTGGGCATAAGCTTTCGTGGGCTAAAACTGAGTATTTAGCAAGGGGAAATTAGTTTTTGTAAAAACAACTAGGAGTACTTGTGGCACCTTAGAGACAAACAAATTGATTTAGTTTCTGTAGTGACCCATCTATTCCCAGTCTCTATTCAGGCCTAATTTGATGGTGTCCAGTTTGCAAATTAATTCCAGTTCTGCAGTTTCTTGTTGGAGTCTGTTTTTGAAGTTTTTTTGTTGAAGAACTGCCACTTTTAAGTCTGTTATTGAGTGATCAGGGAGACTGAAGTGTTCTCCTACTGGTTTTTGAATGTTATAATTCCTGATGTCAGATTTGTGTCCATTTATTCTTTTGCGCAGAGACTGTTCGGTTTGGCCAATGTACATGGCAGAGGAGCATTGCTGGCACATGATGGCATGTATCACATTGGTAGATGTGCAGGTGATGAGCCCCTGATGGTGTGGCTGATGTGGTTAGGTCCTATGATGGTGTCCCTTGAATAGATATGCGGACATAGTTGGCACTGGGGTTTGTTGCAGGGTTTGGTTCCTGGGTTAGTGTTTTTGTTCTGTGGTGTGTAGTTGCTGGTGAGAATTTGCTTCAGGTTGGGGGGCTGTCTGTAAGCGAGGACTGGCCTGTCTCCCAAGGTCTGTGAGAGTGAGGGATTGTACTTCAGGATAGGTTGTAGATCCCGGATGATGTGCTGGAGAGGTTTTAGTTGGGGGCTGTATGTGACGGCTAGTGGTGTTCTGTTACTTTCTTTGTTGGGCCTGTCTTGTAGGAGGTGACTTCGGGCTCTGTCAATCTGTTTCTTCACTTCACCAGGTGGATATTGTAATTTTTCTTAAAGTTTTTCTTAAAACTACAGTCAGTGGATGGGTCACTACAGAAACTAAATCAATGTGTTAGTCTCTAAGGTGCCACAAGTACTCCTAGTTGTTTTGACAAAAACTAATTTCCCCTTGCTAAATACTCACACCTTCTTGTCAACTGTTTGAAATGGGCCACCTTGTTTACATTGGCTCATTAACACTACAAAAGTGATTTCCACCCCTTCTTGTCAACAGTTGAGAATTGCCTACTTCCAACTTAAATTAAATTGGCTCATTAGCATTGACCCCCCCACTTGGTAAGATAACTCCCATCTTTTCATATGCTGTGTATTTATACTTCCCTACTGTATGTTCCACTCCATGAATCTGATGAAGTGGGTTTTAGCCCACAAAAGCTTATGCCCAAATAAATTTGTTAGTCTCTAAAGTGCCACAAGGACTCCTCATTGTTTTTGGGGATACAGACTAACAGGGCTACCACTCTGAAACCTGATATTTATTCAACACTCTGGGCTGCTGCCTCACCTAGGAGATGGCTTTTAATCCAGTTAACAGACCTGTTAACCAGCTCCTCTAAGGAATATGTCTAAACTTGGGAAAAAGGTAATTTTCTGGAACATATTTGGAACTAGCTAAATCAGGAAATCAGCAGATCTAAGCAATTTACAAAGCAGGTCAGTATCATAATCCCCATTCTGCAGATGGGAAACAGACACAAAGAGGTGAAGAGACTTTCCTAATGTCACCCAGTAGAGCAGTAGCAGAGTCAGGAGTAGAAGCCAAGTCTCCTGAGTCCCAGTCCAGCGGTCTATCCACTAGACCACACTGCCTCAACTAATTAAACTGTGCCTATTGTTTCAGATGTTATTGGGTGTCACTGTTTAAAACATTAATGATAAAGAACTAATCTTCTTATAAGGGAAAAAAAGGATGCATGAAATAGTGTGAAGGAGAGACACTGGGAATTCTATATCAAATCCTGTTTTTTCTTAAATTCCTATAGAAAAACCCACACCTAAAGTAGACTCGTTCTTTTTCTTATAACAGAAGAGTGTGCGAGCTACAAAGATGACTGGCAATGGGATTAATAAAAGCAATTTAGAAAGGTTGAACTAACATACCTCAACTACATAACCCAGATCTCGGACGTAATCTCGCTCCGTCTCCACTAATTCCTGTAAGACATAGCTACAAGGAGAGGGAAAGGTGAAAAAACATTCAGGGAGAAAAATGTATTCATGTGGATAAAAATTCTTAAAGAGGATTAAGAATGGGCATACAACATTTTACAAGTTTGCAGTTATGCACATTTAGTAAAGTAGAGTTTACATTTGACTTTCCGAATCTGGATGCTTCACTGTCTTCAGGTCATTCTTACTTCTTGTGTTTACTAAACTATAGCTCCAGCAGCCAGGACTTTTGCTGCATGGGTCAGGACAATTAAAACATTAATTAAAAAGAATTCCAATATTTGACTCACAAGAAACAGCACGAGATTCATAAGCAAACAAACTGAAGATGTCTTTATTATTTTAACACCGACATACATACGATTAATCTTCAATACCAGCTGAAATGTCAACGAATATTTCTGGATCTTCCCAACTATCATTTGAGTTCAAGGTAGAGAAAGACGGTTTCAGGAAAAAGCAATGATTTATGGTTTTTGGAACCTAAAAATACCCTTGAGAATATTTAAAAGCCAGCATCCTCCTCTATGAAGGCTGAGACTGACGTGTTTGACAGGACTTTTGGGTGAACTTAGTACTGGAAATAATATGCCTGAGAATTCTCTTTGAACAACAGCTGGTTTTCAGGAAGAACCAAATCATCCATTTGATGCCTAACATGCAAGCTGGAAGGGAAAAAGAACTACTTCTTCTGTTAAATTAAAACAGTCTGTTTTGAAAGGATGCAAAGGACTTTATAAATGTTACCTGATTGAGAACAGAGGGGAAATATAAATTTGTAAGCCAATCTTACTGTCGTCTTTTTAAAGAGCTGGATTTCCTTTCTTCCATTTCATCTATGGGTGACGAGGAAGAGAGAAGGGAGTTGTCTGAAGGGTTGAAAGATGGACTGCTGCTGTCACCTTGGTCTACCAACAGTGAACTTGGACGATCTTCCAGTGCCTAAAAGTGTATTCATAAAATGTTGCAATATTTATTCATCTTGCCGTCTATTCATGCTGTCTTTAAACTCACAAAGCACTGCACAAAATGAATACACATTTACAGTTGTTAAAAAATATGGAACCTCTGTTTTATACTCAAATGTTTACATTACCTTAGTGAGTTCAAAAAAAATAAGACAGCGCTCTAGGGTGGCCATTAAAAAGTCAAAATTTGTCACACTGTTACCAATCTGTGGTAACTGTTGGTAAATGCTGAATTTTTAATAGAGATTACTATAATGAAGTTAGAACAATTTAAATCCTCACCATTGCATTTAAATGACAAGGGCAGAAAAAATTCAAGGGGACTCACAAAAACC